TAAGCTACTATTTACTAATATCTAGAAATTTAAAGCAAGTATTATTATATAGATACTAAATAATATATCCGACTATAATACTTTTAGAATATTTAATTATACTAAATATAAAGAACTAATTCGGCTTAGTTATATTCTTAATTCTAATAATCTCTTTATTATAAATTCTAGAGTATAATTAGTTATTCCGAGAAATGAAACTTCTAAAGTAACTTTTAAGATAAATAAACTAAAATATAAAACTTCTAGTTCTTCTATTATTATTAACTCTTGAATAGAGTTTAAAATAATTATATAAATCTATTTTCTCTTTTATTCTTTTTTCTAATATATATTTATCTAGAATTTCGATTTACTAGTAAACTCTAATCTAATTATAAATTAATCTGTCTTAAAAGAGCTTATTATAGATTTATCTAATTACTTAATTTCTATATCTTTATTAGAATCTAATATATCTATATTAGAAGAGCTATTTTCTAGACCTTCTAATTTCTTTCTAAAGCCTAATAACTATTTACTACCTTTAATTTAACCTTCTATTTCTACTTCTACTACTAATACTAAATATCGGAAAATAATTGCTTTTTACTAGTATCTAGAGATAGTTAAATCTATTTCTCTTAAGTAATTCTATTATATAACTTATATAAAACATATTACTAAGTCTATTAATTATAAGAAATAATTGGATCTTTTATTATAATTAAATCCAAGCTATATTTAGTTAGAACTTATTTATTTACTTAGCTCTTAACTAGGTATTTCTAGAGTTTTAGTTTATCTTATAAAATTGAAACTAGATAATTAAATTCTATATATAAAAGCTATATATAAAAGCTATACTTTTAGGTATTTTTAAATATATAAAATTCCTTTATTTATTATATAACCAGGCTTTATTTATTAAGTCTTTTTTCTATTAGCTAGTTTATAGTTAACTAGCTTTATAGTTTTTTTTTCTCTTACTATTTTATACTCTTTCTTTAGTAGTTCCTCTATATACCTAAACTTATATTTATTTATATCTCTTACTTTATAATTAGTTCTCTTATTTTACCTTTTATAGTTACTATATATACTATTATAATAACTCTCTAATTTAATATAGCTTATAAAGATTTCTTACTTATTTATATACTTTTTATATAGATTAGTAGTTTATAAAACTCTATTAAACCTAATTAGAAAAGTCTTATAGTTAGACTAGCTAAATAACTTACTAGTATTAAATTAGAATAGCTTCAAAAACTCAATAATTATATAGTACTTTACTAATTAGAAAAGTATTTATATAGTTTATATTATAGTTCTAAAATTTAAAAAGTCTTTTAAATACTTAATTAATACTAATAATCTCATTCTATTTTACTATTATTTTATAAGCCTAAAGCTAATTATATTAGTCTTATATATTATCTTATAAGAGAAGTAGCTTATCCGGATAATAGTAACTTGAAGTTTGCCTTTATTATTAACTAGAAAGTTATCTTAATTCATATAAATAACTATAATAATTATATTAAAAGAGGATATTAAAGTATTAAAGAGATAGAAGATAAAAGTAGCTAGTATAGGCCTTAAATCTGAATTGTTTTTTAATAGATTATTTCTATTTGAAATATACTAAAAGCTTATATAAAAGTTATATAATAATAAGAAAATAGTTATAAGAAAGAAAAGTCAGATAGTATAAAAGAGTCTTTAAATAATCGAAGTAAAGAAATAATTAATATAAAGTAAATATTATATAACTTATTCTATATTTCTATAACTCTTCTATTATTATAATTACTTATTTATTTATATATATATATTTCTTTTCTTTTTTCTTTCTATTTCTTTTTTTAATATATAAAATACTAAACTAGAAGCCCTATAATAGAAAGACTATTATTAACTACTTTTACTAATATAGATATAGCTAAAACCTTTATTTTTTATATTAATTTTATATATATTTTTATATTATTAAATAGAATTAGTAGTATTATATTCTTAATCTTTATAAAAAATCCAGATATAATAATAATAGGCTATATAATAGTAAATAAGATAGTTCTTTTATCTAGATATTTAAATAGAGAAATATATATATATTTCTATTTAAATAAGCTAAAAAATAGAATAATCTTTTACTATTATATATATTTTTACTATTAATATTATCTTAAAATTCATTTTCTAAATTTATACTATTATAAAGTATTAAAGGTTAGTATTTTAGTATTAGAAAAATAAGGCTAATTAATATAAATAAACTTAATTTCTAGACTATATATAATCTATATTATATACTAACTCTAATACTCTTATTATATAGCTAGTTAATAAATATTATAGAGATTTCAAGTTTCTAGTAATTAATAGTATTTTTATATTAATTAGAATAAAGTGAAATAGAATAAGAAATATTAAAAATTACAGGAAAATTATCTGAAAATTAGTAATTATAATATATAATAACTACTTCTTCTAAAAATAGATATTTCTCTCTTTTTCTCTTACTCTTTTATTCTCTTTATTTATATTTTGGTATATAAATAGAAAGCTTATAAAGTAAAGTATAATAGAGTGAAATATAATAGAATAAAGTAAGAAATACTCGAAAATCGCTTGAAAATCGCCGAAAATTAGTACTTCTAATATATAATAACTACTTCTTTAAATCTATATATATATCTTCTTTTTCTTCTCTTTCTTTCTTTCTCTTTCTCTATATTTCAGTATAAGAATAGAAAACCTATAGAGAAGCTAGAAATAATAAGATTAATAATAAATAAAGAATTAACTATTATCTTGATTTTCTATATTAATTTTATATATATATTAGTACTATAAAGTGAGATTAGTAGCATTTTATTCTCAATATATTTTAACTAATTAGATTTGATAGTAAATATTTATTAATAGTAAATAAACTAGTACTTCTATTCGAATATCTATAGTTTAGAAATATATATATTTCTAAGGCTTAAAAAGATATATAAATAGGAAGAATTATTTACTGTTATATACATCTCTATTATCAATTTAATATTAGATAAATCTGTTAGATTTCCAGTACTGCGAGGTATTAGAGAGAGGAGGTAAGTCACGTGAATAACAGGCTTCACACTCCTATAATCTATTAACTTGAATTATTCTTAAAATCAATACTATCTGCTTTATCCAATTAGCCCAAAATAACTTAAATATATCCAATAAGGCTTGGATATTACGTATTAGTAATAGAATCATTAATTATTAAATTTTGATTTTCTAGTATCGAGTGCAATATACGCAAATGCATTATGCAATGTCATTTCGGGGTTTTGGCAGGAGCATCGCTATCGGCCTCGGTATAAGGTTTCATATTCGTACTTGTACTTACTTTACATGCGTATGCAGACATGCCCCGGATAACTTCTGAGCCTATAGGTGGCCGCTTGATTGAGAAAGTGGTCTGAGTATGGTGTGATACCTATCTTAAAGATAACAAGCCTACCTATAGAAGAATTATTCTCATGAACAAGGAGGAGAGGAGACCTTTTTTATTAGCAGAATATTCAGCGAGTCTGACCAAAGCTGTCCACGCATTTTCCTTTCGCCCGGCTACGGAGGGAGGCTCCTTGCGCGGCCAACCAAAACCACGCACGTGTATTAGTTAAAAAAGCGCTACCGAAACCATTCGAAGACTAATGGTTCAAGTTGGCCAGTAAAAGAATTCCCGCATGTAAGCCTCTACTAGAGGGGAAAGGTCGCAGCCAATACTTGGATAAGGCGCCTGCTGGGTCGGCTCGCTGCCATCCAGCTAATCTTTATAGATCCCTGAGGCGTAGATAAGAAAGGAATATAGAGGCACGGGCGGTTTGAGTGATAACCAACCCATTACTATAACTTTCGATGGAATCAGTTACTATGTTGTCAAATATGCGGCTGGTTAGCTGGAGACTTGATATAGCGTAGAAGGGGTCTTGATCCCTTAGAGAAAGCGGCGCTCGGGCGCCTTAATTAATATAGGCTTGCTATCTAATTATTTACCTTTATTATAATAATAATTAAATTAGGGAATTTAATTCTAATATTATATTAAAACCCAGTCTTATTTACTATAATAGGAATTTTATTTAATATATAAAAAGAAGCTATAAAGTAAAATAACTTATATATATTCTTATATTCTTATTATTTATTATTATTATCTTTTATTTGCTCTTTTTTAAAAAAATTATATTTATTAACTTTATAAATAAAAGAAAGAAATTACTTGTTTTACTTGTTTTACTTGTTTTACTTTTGCTTTATATAACTTTCTTTTATTAATAAGAAATCTTATACTTTTTATAACTTTAATATATTTATTTATAATTATTAATTTCACTTTTATTATTAGATTTATTAAATATATCTTATTTAAGGGCCTTATATAAAAGTATATATTATGTTTTCTATTTAGCTTTATTAGTAAATTTAATTAATAATATAAATAAATTTTAAAACTTTTATTATTTTAACTAATTTTATAAATAATAAATAATATTATATAAAATTTTAAAAGAAAAATATTACCTTTATATTTAAATTTGTTTAATATTTAAAATAGTTTTTAAGTTATTATAAAAAAGAAATAATTTCTTATTAATAAATAAGTTTTAATATAGCTATTTTATGTTTGCCTTTGATTTCCCATATCAAATCAGCGAGAGCTGTTTATTGGTACTGAAGTCGGTATAAAGTTCGTGACACGTTGTCTTGCAGATCTTCTGGCGCGAATGAGCGTGAATAGATGGAGATCATTATTACTAGACTGTAATATAGCCATTCAGAATCCAGCGTTCAATTGCCGGTTGCCAGGCGATGTATAATTATTCTTAATTTAGCAAGTGGCGTCAATATTGGCTTCCCAGCTTGCCACGACAATCAAGCTTTCAACAACTGTTGAGTCTCGAGCAAAGTGGCCCATGCATTTATTACACCTTCTCTGAATTTTCACTAAAAACGATCTTCACCGTCACCAAGCGATCTCATATCTGGCTCCTCATTCCTCACTCGCAACATGTACCCGCTGCTCATATTCTTCCCAGTGGCCAAAGGCCTTCCATTACTGCAGAATATCACGATCCCCCTGCCAAACGGCAGTTCAGATCATGAAAATCCGGGTTTGCTCTGTACGCCCACCAAGTGGAGTGATATTATAATCTTCTATCTGGCCAACTATGCGGCGCACGCCGCAACGACTCGCTCTCTACCCGGCGAAAAGACTCGGGGGATTATAATGGTTGTTCTAACCGCCCTGTTCTTTCCAGCTGCTGGCGCGTTTCGTGGCATTCTGGGAATTACAAGCTTAGCGATTTGGGCGAAGACAGACCTGGAGATGGCTGCCAAAGCTGGTGCTCTTTGCATGGTCGTTAGGGGGCCCGACTGGGAACCGCGGGATGGGGACACTCTGGAGAACACAATTCTTTGCCTGTCTGTGCAACAGACAAAGGGTGGCAACAGCTCTCTTGAAAATCCTTTGCCCATAGCTTCCTCCCAGGAAAATGCCATTCTAGGGATTAACACAGGAAAGCCAGAGGGAAGGAATTTCCGTTTTGTGATGTATGACCCGCCGTGGAATTTTACGGATTTCATATATGGGGATGATCTGAGCCAGTCCGAATATCAGATCCATGGTAATCATCATCTCCCCCCCGGCTATTGTATTTCACTTGTTCCACGAAATGCAACCTTCATCGAACCACCTCTTAAAAGGACTACCCTTTCGTATAATTATAACTGGGTCAAAGTTCTGGTCTCGCTTGGTCAAGCAATATACACTATATTTACGCTATACCAGGCTCGAGGGGACCAAATTGAGCGATTTGGCTACGCGGCTTTTGGCCTCACGGTTGCTCCATACGCAGTTGTCTCCGTGTTGAATCTCTTAGGGTCAGGCCTGTGCCCAGAATTTGCAGCTCTATATATGGTCGAATCTTCGATAATGAAGGAAGCTGTGAAAAGAGGCGAAGGATGTTTCTTCATGGGAACGGTCGGAGAGCTGGGTGAGGATATTTTCCGCCGGAACCCCAGTGCCGAGCAGGGGGCTACACTACAGTCACCCCAATGGACTCTTGAATCTGTCTTTATTAGTAAGGACTCTGAGGAGGATTCCAAATATCTAAAAGTCAAGAGCGCATACTGGATCGAAGCCTCGAGGGTTACACTTGCCAGTGATCAAGGTCGAGATTCAACAGCGGCAAAAGAATCGAACAACGATGCCACGGGGAACAAAGTTCGCCCGAAAAGACACGCGACCTCCGTTCTATTATCACTGGCGCAGATTTTGTTTTTGTCTTCATTTGCGGAGACTCTCATCAAGAAGACGGGCATTGGTCTAACCCCCCCCCCCCCCCCCCCCCCACCGATATCCAGAGCGGGCGCTGACGCTGTTCAAGTTCAACTAGCGGTCACCGAGCCCCTTGGATCTTCCTCTAACCTATCTGAGAACGTTATTCTGATCCCGTACATGAATCCCATAAAACGGAAGAACGGAACCCGGAAGATGGATTCTTATAAACTCTCTAGCGCAGACCCGGGACGCAAATCCACGGATCCTTGGACGGTCACTATGGCTCCCACTGCGGGCGCGTTAAGAAGGGTGTTTGAGGACTCCGTGGGTCTCAGAAACTTCTTCGTGGCCTTCTTGTTTTCGTTCTTGGCTACTTTGGTCCCAGTGGCCATCATCGGTGGTCTCTCTAAATTCCACCGAGGGCATAGCACACATGCCCAACGTGTCTGGATCATGACCTGGCTCAGCTTTGGAGCAATTGGGCCTTTCATCTTGATTATCATATCATTGATTAAACTAGACCGCAAGAAAGGGGAAAGTTGGATTACAGTAATAATAGGGAGTGCTTATATTATCTTGTTTTATGCAGCGCCAGCCATTGGGGGGTTTGTAGTTATAGGACAGATGTTGAGATCATTTGGGACTTGTATTACTATTTCTTAATTAATAATATTCCTCGTTAATAATCAAATAAATTTAATTTCAATAATTGAGTTAAACTAATATAATAATATGAATTTAGATGTCTTGTTATTTTCAAGTTCTTTAATAATTAAATAATCTTATAATAATTACTTTAAGTAATATTCTCTTTATTTATAATATTTATTATAAAAATATTAAGAAATTAAATACCCTAAAGTTTTATAATATATTAGATTATTTGAAATATTATTTCCTTTTTTGTTATTATTTATAAATATATAAATACATTTTATATATTTAAATAATTTTAATTCAAGTTTATTTAATTATTTAATTATTAATTCTTCTATTAAATATTTTTAAAGAATATCTTATATATATAATTAAGCAAGCTATTATTATTAATTAAAATTAATATATTTAATTAAATGATTTTTTTTTTAAATATATAAAGAATATTTAAAGAGAAGAATTAAATTTAAGCTTTTATATAAAATTATTAATATAATAATATAAGTATCTTGAATTTTGAAATATTAATTCTTTTAATAAAGAGCACTATATATACTTGCACTCCTTTTATGGCCTCAGCGAAGGCTTGGATTCTTGAACTCTGGCAAAGGAAAGGATCCCTCGCGATTTCAATTAGACATGTTTTGGAAAGTGCTGTATATTTATAAGCCATGTAATCTCTCAGCCTCGCCGTGAGAAAAAGAAAAATGGGGCTTCTCGCCAGGCATTCGTGTTTCGGCCTGGCCATAACTGCTGCCTTGCTGGAAGCAACAAAGACAGACTTCCGCTCTCACAGATTTCAGATTCGAGTTCTCAAAGCACAATTTCAGTCAACAAAAAATAAGTTCAATACACCAAGTCGTCCTCCAAACAAACACGAGTTCTGCCCTCAACGTGCTCCGCAAGTGAGGCAGCGCCCTACGAGGACCCACAATGCCGCTTGGCAAGATTACGAACGCTCTTTTCTCTGGCAGCAACGAGAACACTCTCCAACTAGCAAGCTTGAATGTCGACATATCTCTGCTCAAGTTCGAGGCCCCGAGGGAATTCAAAGGATTAGGCTCCGCATTATCTCTCCGTCGTCGGGCTGATGCAGAGGATGGGCCTCTCCATCAGACCGCTCGCAAGCTTGGAGCCTTGTTTGAGCCGATCATCCCAAGTTACCCCAAACTTGTGAAAGCCTACGGTATGCGAGCGTCCGCTATATTCGAGAGTCCCGGAGTGAATCCGAAGGGCTCACGGAAGGACGGGGCCTTCGAGACCTTCGTCGGAGCAGATGGTACTTCTCTCTGGGCAGCAGCTACGTCCGGGCATGCTTCAATTGCAGTTCACCTGTTAGCGTGTATGTTAGCTCGTTCCTGGGAGGCCAAAAGTGCCACAGCCATATGGGTTGAGCTCATTTTAGAACGAAAACGAGAGTTACATTCAGCCGTTGAAAGCGGGAGCGTTACGTCCATGACCCTTATCATGACCCTGGGGGAAGATATTCCGAGAGAACAAATAAGGTTATGGGATGCTAGCGCGAGGTCGTGGTTGCAGAGTGCTGATCAAGAGAAGATATCGGAGCAGAAGAGGCTCGATCTCATTCTCAAGAACATCAGCCTCTTAGTCTCCGGTGGGGCCACAACGTATGAAAGTGTCACATCTGCTTGGATTCAAGCAATGGAGGGTTTGGAGAAGCTGCTGTCAGGAACACCCCAACAGATTTGTGACGGATCAATATTGCTGGCACTCTCAGCGTGGCATATATTCCCCAATCTCCTCGTTCTTGGCCCCAAAACTGTCAATGTTGCTTTCAACGACCCACTGGTTCCCAAAGCTGGTGTTGTTACCATTGGGCTGCAAAATTCGGAGCGTAATCAAGGGGAAGGCATCGGGTGGTCGCTAGCACTGTCTCATTTACGCTACTACGGAGACCCGGTTCCAGTGGCGAATGAAGATATCAAAGGCAGAGTCGCGATTCGGGAACTGCACCTAGTTGCCCTGGGGGCTCTCTTGCGGCAGTGGAGTATGGGTATTGAGGATGCTCCTCTTGTATGCAGGTGGCTTACTTCATTTTGGCAACTTCTCAGTTCAGCACCTAGGAACCAGCCGATCGGCTCATCTGATGTCAATGTCATTCTAGAACTCAACGACGAGTTCTGCTGGTTGGAGGTACTCGTTCTAGCCGCCGATCGCATTGTCCATTCTAATGGTGAAGAGCTGGACACTGCGATGATGCTCGTCTCCTATGGACTTCGCCGCGGGGAAACCTTTCTAGGGCGTTACAACCAAAAATGTCGAACAAGGCGAATCCCGTTCTACGGCCTCTGTAACCATGTCATGCTGTCTTCCCTTGCTCAGGAGTCAGTGGTAGATTGCGGGATTCAATACTTCCGAGGAGTAGCACAAAACTTGGGACTTGAGGACTGTGATGCTATAATCTCGTACACTCACAGAGATACCATCCCATTCTACGAGTTTGCCAGCGCAGTCCCCCACCAAGCTCATTCACATGCCCACTGCAAACGGTTGATAAGTGGGGAATTGAAGCAAAAGCAGGTCCATTCGCGGTCGTTCAATCATTTCAGAAATGCGCGAAAATGGAGTTGTTCTTGTAAAACCGATTGTATGAAGGACTGTCCATGTAAAAAGGAAAACATACAATGTACATGGACTTGCCATGGCGGTGGAAGTGTTCAAGTCGCTGAACTTGGTTGCACAAACTTTGGATTTGGTCTCTTGGAAAGAGTTGAAGTCATCGCTTCGCGAGGAGAATATTCCGCTATGACGGGGCATGGACTGCAAAAGCCGGTCAAAGGAAGTGATGGGTTTCCGAGGCACGATCAAGAAAAAAATTGGGCAATTTCTATGACATGGGAAGATCCTCCACTTCTCTACAGTGGCCTTCAACGCTCGGGGGAGCTGTATTGTGCTTCGGAATCAAGAACGACTTCTGTCTCTCACCCATGCTCATGTTTTGACAGGTGTTCACTCTATGTCGACCACTACCTGTACCAATGGGCAACCAACCAGACGAAGCACAGAATTTCAGACTGGGAAATCGCATCTGAGCAAACGAAACACATTGCTACAAAATTTGACCTCATAGCTGGGGACTACGGTCCTGGTCAACATGCCCTCTGGTTAAGACGCAAGGAGACGCTAGATGGACGACCATCTTGTGATAGTATTGGTGGAATAGAGATCAAAGATGATAGCAACAACAGCGAACAAAGCGAAGTCAGCCGCTCAGAGCAAGATCAACATCCACGTCGGGGAGATCTGAGGAATTATGCGGCAAGGGGTCATTGGACCCCCGACGCATCAATGTTGAATGATATTGAGGGCCTGGTCGAAGGTCTGAGCCTTCTGAATCCTGTCAGGGTTGCACAATTTCTGGCTGCAATCACGGACACTGACTGTCAACCTTCATCAGCCATTTTCCTCCTCGCTCACCCTCACCTTCTGCCTAAAAGCCAGTGGAGGGCACTCGACGCTCTAGGCATTGCTTCTCGGCTTTATGATACTATTCCTGGCGCGACGGTGCCACTTACTATTGTGTTTATGGATCTGTCAACCGCTCGCTGGCACATGCCACAGGAATCCAAGTGTCCAGATGATCCCGACGATAGATCTGATGAGTCTAGCCTCCCAGAAAGCACCAACTTTGATCGCTTGCTCTACTCTGAGCTCTCGCGACCCCAAGTATTTGCGTGTCTCTTGATGTTTGAGACAGGCTCAGCGAACATAGATGTCTGTTCTCTCTCATCCGTAGTGGCGATGTCCTCGGGAAACTCGATCTATGTTGCAAGCAGACTTCTCTCAGATCCAGCGAATCTTGTCTCAGCATGCCACATTAAACGAATCGTTGGAAATATTGGCATGCCTGGTATTTCCATGATGGTGGCACCGCAAAATCCGCGGCTTAGAGAACTCACCGACGACTGGCGCCAAGTTCGACACGCGAAGTACGACTCCAAGAGAGAAGACAACTTCAAAGGCACAACATTGCATTTTTCATTTACGGACTGGAAATTGCCCCTTGAACCTAATTCTTCTGGAACGGTTGACAAAGATATATTCCTTATCGAATCAATTGTTTCCGTTCACGATAGTGGAGAGTGGGTAGCGGATCTTAACCTCTTACGCTTTATGCCTTCAGAACATCACATTCTAGATTGCATATGTAAGAATGAGGGATCCCAAGCTACTACACGAGAAGTCAATCACCTGGTTTCTATAGACAATTGGGATGAGTTGATCGATGGTCCACATGACGTTGGCATTTTCCGAGCGAGGGGCAATTGGGCAGCTCGGCTTGCTGCGTCCTCGATCTTGAGTCGGAAGTGCCAAGAAAAAGGAGAGATGTTCTATATATGCTCGTCTCTTCCATGCTTGAAGTGCGCCAGGCGGCTTAGTGGCAAGGTGAAAATCTTGATAGACTGAATTTTACATTACAGTAGCATAATTACCTTTGCCTTTGAACAAAGTTACTGAGGCCCAGACATGGCTAGCAGACAAAACCAAGAAGCGAAAAGTGATTTTCTGATTTTTTGATTTTCGCACTGCCCCCTGCCTTTACAAAGGCAGAATTCCTAATTAGAGGGTATAACACGCACACGTGACTTGTGGCTTAGATAATATAATAATGGTAAAGCTAATTAATTATCTAATAAATGAAGTAAGAGCTTATATTATTATATAAAATCGTACTAAAATCGAACTAAATAATATAATATAAAATTTAATTTATATTATAAATTATTATAATTAAATAATTATATTATTAAAGAAATATACTTGAAATATATTAAAAATATTAAAAATATTAAGTCTTTTATAAACTAATATATTATGAAATATATATTTATTTTCTTATAAATTTCATATTCTAGTTTTTTCTTTTTTAGCTTTAAATTATTTTTATAAGAAATCTTTTATTTCGATTTTTAAGCTTTAAATATTATACTTGTAATAATTACTTTAATTTCTTAATACTAGTTTTTAATAATATTAATTTCTTATAATATTAGTTAAATATAATAATATAATTTTAAAGTTTTAATTCTTTTAAGAAATAATACTTTTATTAATAGTAATAAATATATTGCCTTAAAACTATATAAATAACTTAGAGCTTAAGTTACGAAAAAAATAAAGTAAATTTAAAATAATTATATATAGGTTAAATAAAAATAATTTCAGATTTATATATATTTTAAAAAGAGGCTAATAAGATAATTAAAAAGTACTAAATTAAATAAAGTATCTAAAATAATAAGCAAAATTATTATATTATAAAATAATAAAGGTATAAATATAAGGTTTTATATTTATTTAATTAGTTTATTTATTAGTTATTAAAAGAATACAAACAAATCTAAAAAAGATTACTCTAGTATGTCTATAAAGAGAAATAGAGCAAGTTAGAAATATATAGGCTCTGTAAACAAGTAGCCTAATAGATTGAATAATTAATTAAAAGGTTACAGGGGTTCTTTATTCTAATGCTCTTCTCCTAGCTACTGCTGACTATTGGCAGTTGTTGTTTGACTACGTGTCCGTTATGGCCGTTCCCCTGGCTATTCTTAGATGAAGTAGTAGATAGAGTGGCACGACCTAGATCCCTGGTTGAACATGGTGTGCTGGTCGTCCTTGAAACCCGCGTACGCCCGGAACTGGTTACCACCGTCGCTATGGTCCCTTGATGTTAGTCGCCGAGCTTGGCCGCGCTGGATAGCTTCGCAAGACTTACCCAATATGCTGGAAGTTAGGTTTCGACTGTGCGTCGGAGTCGATGAACCAAGCAAAACGAACGCCAGTAGGGAATGTGCAAGCCTGAGCCGCTCCCTCCCAGGTGAAGAGGAAGTTGCTTGACATGGTGCAGCTGTTGTCTGAGTTGGGCACATGTTTGCAGTCGCTATCGACCGGGCAGAACTACTAACGCGATATGGTTATTTGGAAATCCTCAACAAGAGCTAGAGGATCACGGTGGCAAACGTACAACGACGTAGGAACTCGCGGGCAAAATTGTGCCCTCGCCTCCAAAGCGATCACAGTTCACAAGGTGTACTCCCGTACCATCACTACGCTTCCCAAGGAGATGAGTGCGGCCTGCCACTGCCACATCCGTGGCAGGAGCAGCAGCCGCAAGCTGGAGGAGAGGCGCGAGAAGAGCGAGGAACAGCATTTTCTCCCTATTGTCGTGGACTGGGGACTCTTCGGTGTTGGTAGACTAAGTTCTTGGGTTGCCGTAGGAAGGGAAGGGCCTTGGGAGCCTTTATAGAAACGATCCTCGCAACAATGGGTTCATCGATGCTAACCAAATTTAAAGGCTTATGACTTGCCACATCTCACTGTTACATCTCGGTCAGCTCGGAACCCCTAGTTGGAAAGGCGAGCTCGCCCGAAGCTGTGACATTCGCAACCAGAGCAGCATAGTATACGCGGTTAGATGCTCGAGGATACCAAACATACGAGCTGACCTGTTAATAGTGCTTATGGCTTCCTATAATAGACAAGGGCGTTTTTTCAGGAGCTAACATACGAGCTGGATATTCGGAATGATTATCAGAGTGGCCAAATTATCATTATTCGCCTAGTTAAATGGGTGGTGACGGATTTGATTATTAAGCTGCGCATATCCTTAGTCAAAGTGCCGGTCATGGAGAGGGTTTACTGTATTCATTCGAAGAAACCTTGTCGCTGCGACGCCGGCGCCCCACCTCTGCATACATGGTACGGCGCGTCAAGCACAAGGGACAGTAAACTAGGGTTGCTAGCGGTCCTTCGGTGACCCCTCGACGTGTGTGCTAGATGCTATTCACCCTTCACTTTTCAGTGTATTTTTGGCGACGCCCATCACTTGAGGTCCGCCGGCAAGAGTAAGGGTCAAGCATGTATACCTTGTATGGGTTAGAGGGCGTGTCTAGTGTCATTGCCTACACTATGTTTCTTCATTTGTTAGACATTAAAACCCCCGGACTGTGTTGGTCTGTACCAAAGTTCTTTACTGAGAATTGTAATTGGCTGCCATTTACGTGCGGAAGCTTGCTTAAGATCAGTAAACAAACCTAAGTTAGTTACTGCAGGGCTGAGAACTGTATGCAGTCACAGCATCGCTGGCATAAATCGTATAGTGCAGCAACGATCCCCGCTTCCTGGCAGCCGATTCTTCGGCTGACGGCGTCCGAGTGGTCGGCTCGCACAGCTATCAATTTATTTATCAAGTTACAAACGGTAAGTAGTGCTTACGGCTTACTATAATAGACAAGGTGGTGGTGGTGGTGGTTTTCATTTACCCTGACCTCTCCCCTGTCTGGGATATGCAGGCTACCACTACTTGGTCTCTCTTTGTGTTTCTATCGTACATTGACCAGTTGCCTAGAGTTACGGAAAGGAAAATAGAAAGGTAAGGAAAGAATGGTTTTGATTTGCCCGTTTCACTGTTTCTGGGCCTTCTTTAATTCCTGCCCTGTGCTCCCGTCTGCTGTCCATGGGCCCCGGCTTGGGCCTTTTCCCCTCTCGCTTGGAATCTGTGGGAGGCCCCGGCGAAGTCCAGGACTGCGTCAAGTACTTCCCTGTTGAGTGTTCTTCTCTTGGGGTTTCCCCGGGTGTCGTTGGTTTGCCCTCCAAGCATCGCTGGCGTGTTGTTGAGGGCATCCCCGATCTTGCTGCGTAATTGCAGTCTCAGGTCTCGTAGTTTTGGGCAGTCGACTAGGGCGTGTACCACCCTCTCTCGTGCTCCGCATTCGCACTTGTCTTCGCCCTACGGTCTATTTCCTTACCGTGACTTGCCAACCAGCAATGCTCCGATCTGAGTTGCATCAGGAGGTAGCTTCGGTTCCTTGGGAGCGGGTTGTAGAGGCGCCGTGTGTGTGTCGAGGGGAGCCCTTTGTCGATTCTGCGTAGATGTTTGCCCTTTTCGGAGGATCGCCATTCCCTTTCCCATTCGTCGTATATTCGTTCTCTGTTCACTTTTTTCTGGGCTGAGACGAGGTGTTGGAATTGGTGGCATTATTCCGGGCTGACTGCGTCTTTGGTGAGCTTGTCTGCTGCGTCGTTTCCGGCGTTTCCGCTGTGTCCTGGTATCCATTGGAGCCCGAGCCTTCGTCGGTGTTCTCTTTTCGGGTTTTCCACTAGTTCATAAATGCTGCGCACTACAGTAGGTGCTGGCCGGGCCTCCTGCACGGGATAGATACAAAAACAGTGTGCCCCTGCCAATCCCTGCAACATCCCTGTTTTGCTCGCGTAGCATTCCTAAAACATGGGTGTACGCCCAAAGGGGAAATGACAGGAGGCCAACTCTGATTAGAATGCATAAGCACCCTCTCTGGGTAAATCCTAGAACGGGTGCTTATGCAATTGAGAATTGGATTCCCTTCTAGCCTCCTTCCCCCGTACTTTGCAAGCTAATTTTTATAATTTTATCGTAAAGTAAGGCTTTCTTTTTCGGCTATTCTTTAGCCCCTGGTACGCGTACCAAAGGCAGGCAAGAAGCATATCCCTTCCTTACCCTTTAATAATTGCTTAAAAAGTATATCCTCAAGATATATATATATACTTAAGGGATGCGTACATACTTAAGAGATATATATATACTTAAGGAATATATATATACTTAAGGGATATATATATATTTAAGGGATATACCTATATTTAAGGGATATATATATATTTAAAGGATATATATATATTTAAGGAATATATATATATATTTAAGGGATATATCTATATTTAAGGGATATATATATATTTAAGAGATATATATATACTTAAAAGATATATATATATATTTAAGGAATATATATATACTTAAGAGATATATATATATTTAAGGAATATATATATATTTAAGAGATATATATATACTTAAAAGATATATATATATTTAAAGGATATATATATATTTAAGAAATATATATATACTTAAGGAATATATATATATTAAAGAAATATATATATATTTAAGAGATATATATATATTTAAGAGATATATATATATTTAAGAGATATATATATATTTAAGAAATATATATAAATAATTAAACTTATATTTTTTATAAATTAAATTATTTATTAAATCTTAAATTATAATAAAAATATCTTATTTTAATATTATTACTTTAATATTATTACTTTTAAATTTATATTTAAAAGCTTTTAATAATTATATAAAAACTTATTAAAATTATTAAATTAAATCTTAAATTAAGAAATTAATTCTTTTTTAAAATATATATATTTATAAAAATTCTAAATTCTAAAATTATTTTATATATTATTATTATTATTATTATTATTATTATTATTTATTAAATATAAAAAATATTTTTAAATAAAGCTAAAAAGTTTAAAAATTAATTTAATATATATAAAAATAAAACTAATTAATATAAGAAATAATAAGTAATAAGATTTAAAAATCTATTTATATTTTTAATTAAAGAATTCCTTTTTTAAAATATTATAAGTTATAATTATATATATATTATTTTTAAATATATAATATATTATAGTAATATATTAAAAATTCAAATATTTATATTTATATTATATAATTAAATTATAAATTAAAAATATTATATAAAGAACTTAAAAGCTTATATATTTCTTATTTATAATTACTTTTATAATAGCTTATTTAAAATATTAATATAAGTATTAAACTTATTTAGTTTCTTAATAAGAAATATATTATTAAAAAAAAACCTAAATTTTATAATTAATTTATATTATAAATTAAATAGCTAGTTTTAAATATATATATATAAAGCTAAAAAATAATAATAAAATGAATTTAATAAAAAAAAGCCTTATAAACTTATAAAGGATTTAAAAAAGTTTATAAATAAATATAAACTTATTTTAAGTTTTAAAACTTAATTTAAAACTATAAATAATATATATTTATAAGTTTTTTTAAAAATAAATTCTTATATATAAGTTTTATAAATAAAAATAAAGCTTAAAAAAAACATAAAAATATAAGTAAAACTTAAGAAAATAAGCTTATAAAAAAAAGCTTTATATATATAAATAAAAGCTTAATAAAAGATATAAATAAATATATAAGTTTTAATAATAAATTTATAAATTAATATTATTTTGCTTATATTTAAAAAAGCTTTTTATAAATTTTAATATTATTTTTTATATATAATATATATTAAAAAGTATTTAATTTAATATATAAAATAAAAGGCTAATTATTTAAATACAAATCTTTAAATTATAAGTTATTATATATTTTAATTTATAAATATAATATAATTATATTTAATAAAAAAAGCTTTATAAATAAAAATAAAGTTTAAAAAAGTATTATAAATAATAATAAGATTTAAAATAGCTTCTAAAATAAAACTATAGTTTAAAGAAACTTATAAAAAGAGAGAAAAATTATATAAATATAATTAAAAGCTATAATAATTTATAAAATAAAAAGTTTTTTAAATATAAATAAAACTTATATAAATAAAAAAAAGCTTTATAAATAAAGTTTAAGCTAAAATATTATATATAAAATAAAATAAATATAAGTAATATAAATATAACTTTAATATAAAAAAGAAAAAGTATATTTATTTTAAATTAAACTTAAAATTTCTAGAATTAGATTAATATTTTAATATTTTATATATAAATAAATAAAAATAAAAATTAATATTATTTATATATTAAATTTTATAATTAAATAAAGTTATTTATAAAAGAATCTCTAAAAAGAATTAATATAAATAAAATTTAAAGGAATTATTTTTTAAATTTTTTTCTTTATATATATTTATATTTATATTATTAATTATAATATAAATTTTAGTTTTATATATATCTAAATATAAAATAAAATATTTAAAAGAAATTAATTTATAAAATAAGAAATAATAATTAATTCAAATTATATATTACTTTTATATTTTTTCTTTATATATTATTTAAAAACTATTAAATCTTATAATTAATTTATATAATAAATTATTATTTAATATTTAAATATTAACTAATTTATATTATATATTAAAGATTAAATATTAAGGAAGAAATATATATATAATTAAAATAAAAGCTAAAAGAGTTTAATAAATAAATAAATAATTTTTATAAAAAGAAATAAAATAAATAAGTTATTTTTATAAAAGGAAATAAAAAAAAATAAAAAAATAAAAAGATATTTAAAATATATAGTTT